CCACAAAGAAACCAGTAGGCAGAGATTTAGGTACCAGTTTAAGCCAGTCACTCGCACCTGCGCAACGAAGACCCCAATGATCTTCAACTCACCTGAGTCTCATTATACCATCAGTATAATATGATGCATATGCCTAGAAGTTCATTAATATCATAACAGACTGAATTCTGGGAAGAAATATGCACAGAAGGCAAAGTGATGAATCACTGAGTCCTGTCAATCTTAGTTGTCAATCAAGGAAACCCACTGCTCTTGTGCTGGCTGAAAAATCACTGCTTGGCTATCGCCCATGGGAACACAGGTTATCACCCATGGGAACATAACATTCTAACAATATGCTTTCTGCTTCTGTACCCCTGCTTGCACACCTGACCTGTGGGTTGACAAGTAGTGAATCGGAGAAAAATAGACCTTTGTGTTTAAGACAGAATGAGGAATGGGATTTAGGGCTTAAAAACCCTGTACCTCTACATTTCGGGGCTGCTTAATTTGGGGTCTGCATACCCCTGGCAGACCCAGCTGGCTGAATAAAAAGCATGTTTCCTATAACTCACTGAATTCTGGTGGTCCGTGTGTCTTTTGGGGGCCAGCAGCTACAACATTATAAACTCAGAGACTGAAATTAACAACATAGGATGATCTGAACATAAAAATTCCTAACTAAAAAGCAGGTCATAGCAGGTAGTCACATTCTGGGCTGTAGCTTTCTTGACAAAGGTCAATCTTTACCTTAGGTGAACTTCTCTATTATCTTTTTGTACCTAAAATAAAACACCTTTGAATGTCAGAGCAATCCCTTTTTTCCAGACCCCTCAGGGCACGACCCACTGTACCAGAGCAGGAGACCAGGGAATCCCTTATTTGTTATCTTATCTCCTGCATACCATCTCTCTATGCTATAAATGTTAATTACTAGGTCTCTTGTACCCATCAATGTAAAAGGAGTATGTATCCCTCCATTTTACTTTTTATCCAATCCCAGAGATTCCCTTGCTTTGCGTTCTGCCACCCCCTTAATCTATCACCAATGAATTTTATGTAACCATCCTTATACCTCTTCCTTTGATTCTAATGTATAACTGGAGCATTTTCTTAATCTCTGACTCAGGAAAATGTACAAAACACTATAAGATTGATGTTAACCCTTACGGGTGATTGTCCTCAGATATTTTTCATTCTTTCCTTGATCAAGGATTGAACTTAAGGTCATATTTAGAGAATTTCTTAAACTCAGGGAAGATCCTCAAAAGTATTGTTAATGGATTACCTCCAGAGCCCAATGAGAGAGGCAAATAAAATTTCACACTGTCCTCTCCTTCCCAAATCCAGACCAATTGGTTATTAATCCTTTTTCTCCCAGGGATAGCTAGTGCCAGTATCCTAAAGGCATGGTTTGGCTTTCTGCCTGCCTGGGCCTTGTAGGCTGTCAGTTCTTTCTTATGGCTATTAGAGTGACTCTGGAAGGTAATAACCTTTGCACCCTCTTGAGTCCATTGAATTGCTTAATACTGTCATTACTATTTACCAGTGTCCCAGGTGAAACTTGACAACGTATTTTTAAAAATTTAATTATTATAATAAAAAAATAAAACTATGTACCCGAAGGGGAAGAAACGAAATAGGGGTGATGTAATTAGTTGTGTGGGTAGATCAGTCTGATGTCACTTAAGTTACAAACCAATTCTTTGGGAATACTGACAGCAACTGTCCTTATCTTACAAATCTTAGCAAAACCAAAAATACAGCTATAGAAGCGGTTCAAAATCCACCTATCTTTACCGTCCCCGATTCGTCCCCAATTCCTAAGACCGAAGGAAAAAAGGGAAACAAAGTTTTTTTAGAAAGCACAAACTGCTACTCTGACTACAAGACTCCCTTATAAGAACAAATACAAATCTTAATTGGCTTCTCCACAAATGTTAACAAGAATAACCTTTACCCATCTGAGCAGATAAAATTTACGACTAGTGAATTTTATATTATCATACCCATCTCGTGTCAGTAATTTAAAAACAAAGGCTAGGAGGTCTCTGTTTGCATCCATCTGTATGTTCATGCGTGTTGTGTGGTATTTCTATTTCTGGGATGGTATTACTCATTTGTAATAGAGTTCTATTTAATTGGTTTAAGCAAGAACTTATATAAAAATTCTCAAAAATATGATGGAAACTAACCCAATGCTTTTCGGGATCACGCGATCTGGGGAAAAATATTTGACGCTAAATCTGGTTTGAGTTTGCTTTGGTTAAATAGACATGTCTTTAGACATATTATTAGCATTAAATATAATACTTTCATTCTACTTGGCTTTATTAATTAAGGAAATTCATGTTATCTCTGATTGCTTGGGCTATAGGACTAACTTTGGGAACCCACCTGCATTACAGACTCCTGAAATGAGATGTAACAGTTTAATCTAACTGAACTGTTCTCAAGACTGAGACTGGTTTAACAAGATCTGGAACAATGTATTAATCCAACTTCTAAAATGTAAAACTTCTCAGAAAGTTTCAAAGGCAAGCTTGAAGAGATTCAGGACAGGTCTCCCAAAGATGTGCCACTTTGGCATGTGATTTACTTTGAGTTGAAGGCAACTGAGGCCCTGAGGGCTCATGAGAAACTTTTACCTCTCCCATAAAGAATTTTAATTAGGGGCCTTGCCCTCACTAAAAATAACTTTTTATAACCTTTCTATGGGGCAGGGCAAACTTCTAATTACTAAACATCTGCTCTTCTGATCTTTCTGTGAATGACCTTCCTCCCCTGTGAAACCCCAAGGCTTCACATCCTTAGCTCAGAATGTCATGTATACCTCATTTTCCCTTTCCAGCTCTGAACCTCTCAGGTATGTGAGATTCTTATATGTACATCTGTAATTAAATTTGGTTATTTTCTCTTGTTGATCTGTCTCATATTTATTTGATAATTAAACAAGCCAGAAGAACCTAGGATAGAGGAAAGTTTATTCTTCCCTCTTAATAATAGAGCTCATTTATATTGAGAGAAATGCAAATTAGAACTGTACCAGGAGACCTTTTTTTTACCTATCAGATTGGCAATTATCAAAAAATTAGTAACCCTGTTGGTGACAGTGAGGAAATGAGCACTTGCAAATATTGCTGGTAAGAGTGATTGTAAACTAGTACAACACTTCTGGAAAGGAATTTGATATTATCTATGAAAATTAAAAATGCAAATTTCCTCACACCAGCAATTCCACTTCTAGATATACTAGCATATGTAGGAAAATACATTTGGCCATGATTAGTCATGGCAGCACTGTTTATAATAGCAAAAGATGAGAAATGACCTAAAACGCCCTTAGTAGGGGGCTACTTAAACTATGACCTGCATACAATGGAATAGTTTGTATCAGTAAAATAGAAAGCGATGTGAAAAACAATGTGTATAATATGCTACCATATTTTTTAAGTGGAGGGAAAATGGAGAATATACTTATAATTGCTTTATATAGCACAGACGATCTCTGGAAGGATGTAGAGGAAACAGGTAACACTGGTTACCTGGGCAGTAAGAGAAACTGGGGGATAAGAAACAAACTTGCACTGTGGAATTCTCGACTTGAGAATTGTACATTATGTGCATTGATTAGCTTTTTTATTCAAAACTTTCTTTTAATTAAAAAAAACACAAAGAAAGCAAGAAAAGAAAACAAATAATCCAAAATGAGCAGAGGACCTGAACAGACGTTTTTCTAAAGAAGACATACAAATGGCCAACAAGTACATTAAAAGATGTTCAACATAACTAATCATCAGGGAAATGCAAATCGAAACCACAGTGAGATATCACTTAACACCTGTTAGAATGGCTATTATCAAAAAGACAAGAAACAAGTGCTTGTGAGGATGTGGTGAAAAAGGAAACCTTTACACACTGTTGGTGGGAACATAAATTAGTGGAACTGCTATGGAAAACACTATAGTTTCCTCAAAAAATTAAAAATAGAACTACCATATAATCAAACAATTCCACTTCTGGGTGTTTATCCAAAGGAAAAAAAAAACAAGCCATTAATTTGAAAAGATATAGGCATCCTCATGTTCATTACAGCATTATTCACTATAGCCAAAGCATGGAAACAACCTAAATGTCCATCAGTGGATGAGTGGATAAAGAAAATGTGGGGTGTGTGTGTGTGTGTGTGTATGTGTGTGTATATATTCAGCCATAAAAAAGAACAAAACCTTGCCATTTGCAACGACATGGATGGACCTTGAGGGTATTATGCTAAATGAAATAAATCACACAGAAAAAGATAAATACTGTATGATCTTACTTATATGTGGAATATTAAAAAAAAAAAAAGAACAAACAAAACCCCCAAAACAAAACAAGGAATAATTGAGTTCATAGATATATGAATAATAATTGAGTTCATAGAATTGGTGGTTGACAGAGGAGAGGGTGGGGAATGGGCAACACAGTTGAACAGGGTCAAAAGGTACAAATTTCCAGTTATAAAATGAATGAGTCATGGAGATGTATGTACAGCATGGTGACTATAGTAAATAATTCTGTATTTCATATCTTGAAAGTACCTAGGAGAGTATATGTTGAAAGTTCTCATCACGAGGAAAAAAATTTATAAGATTGTGAGGTCATAAATGTTAACTGGACTTATTGTGATCATTATTTTGCAATACATACAAATATTAAATCCTTACGTTATAAACTCGAAACTAATGTTATGTCAATTATACCTTAGTAAAAAAAATGCACACACACAAAGAAGGAAGTTTTAAAAAACACAGTGCTTATGTCTCATGACTCACCAGTGATATCTTTCCTTGTGGCTCTCGGCTCAAAGTCCATGGCATATAGATCAGAAACGGTGACGGTGCAGCCCTGCTTGCTCAGTTCATCCACAGCCACTTTCTTCAAGGATCCATTGAAAGACCTGGGTTCTTGGTGTGCATAGACGATGAGCACTTTCTTACCTAAATCCAGAGAAAAAAATGATTTCTCTTAAAGAGCAATTCCTCTTTGTCAAAATTCAATGAGGGCTAAGATGGAAATAAAATACATAGGAGCATCGTAGCAGTTGAAGCTAAGAAACATCAACCTTTTTAATGAGTGACAGTTTTAAATCCAGTTATAGCATAATAGCTCATTACCTGAGTTTACTAATACACAAACATACAATGGGTCAAATCATGATTCCTCAAAGATAACAGATCTAAGTTCTTTAAAAGCCCAATCTATTTTGGTTATCATCTATGAGAAGTTGCAGTCCTGTTCCCGAACATCAAAATAAAAAAGTACTGTAATTAATCTTTTGTGCTAACCTACATTGGCAGGCGTCCACTACTGACATACAGTTCTGCTTCTTTTCCTCCAACCCCATCAAAATTTCTAACTTAAGTTATGAAAAGTTGGACCCCTAGTCCCACAGGGGCGTCAGGGCCACAAGGAGCCCTGCTTTTGGTGGTGAGGATGACAAGAAGTCTAAGAAAAGTCAGGTCTTATGAGTCCTGGCTGTGTCATTATTACCAATAGCCTCAGAAGCAGTATTTCCCTTGTTCAGAAGATTCTGTGAGATTATGTACTGATTTCTTCTGGGATGCAGCTGTGGTGATTTGCTTACATTTTCCCAGGTAATGTCTAAGACCAAAATGTTTAAACTCTTGATTTAAAATTTTCAATTTAGGCTCTTAAGAAGAAAATACAAAGGTTAGTTTGAAGCAAACAATTTTGTGGCATTCACCTGAGTATAAAGGTTGAATTCCTGAGTTAGATTAATGATTAATATTTTTTATTTTACCTTCTCAGACTTTTTGTTATAAATGAACTCTACTTGGGGGCTTAATAGAAAAATGGATACAAATGAAATACCTACACCAATGGTTCTTAACTAGGGGCAATGTTGCCTCCCAGAAGATATTTCACAGTATCTAAAGACATTTTTGGTTGTCATGACTGGGAAGGGGAACACTACTGGCATCTGGTAGATAGAGCCCCGAGGATACTGTTAAACATCCTACAATGCACAGGACAGTCCTATGACAGAGAATTATCTGGCCCAAAATATCAATAGTGCTAAGGTAGAGAAACCCAAATGTACAATATAATGTGTAAAATAAGGTGGATTTTTATGTTCTGAAATGAAAGGATTTTCATGTTATATTGTTGAGAGAAAAAAAGATGTTGCAGAATGGGGTGTGTGTGTCATGAGCAGAGGCAAGTAAAGATGGAGTCATGCTAAATTTTTAACCATGGATACTCCTGGGGCTCAATCACTCAACAATTATACATTGAGTTATCGACTATGTCCTGGGGATCATTCCAGAGACCAAATAAGCATGGCCCTTACTTTCGAGGAACGGATATTTTTGGTAGGGTGAAACAGACAATAAACAAGTAAGAAACTATGAAACAAGGTAATTCCAGGTAGCGATCCACATTATAAACAAAGTAAGTTTTCTATACTTCAGTGCTGTTTGGATTTTTTATAACAACATATTCAATTTCTAATTAAAAATTTAATTAAAAAAAAAGTTTAACTCCTCCGTAGTTAATAGTCACCTGCCATGTTCTAGGAAAATGAATTTTTTTTCCTGAATTCTGTCAAGAGGAAGGTCTGCTGTTAATCCTGCACACAGAAGATCTCAGTGTGGTTACCCAGGCTTCAGATGTGGTCACTCTCTTCACTGACCTCAACGATCTATAAGAGAAAAACAAACACTTGAGGGTGGTGGGGAGACAAGGTGGTGAGGGCGATGTACTGACTCAAGGCCTCACCACCACTTCGTTAAGGACGTGCAAAAGTCTCAGAAAGAAAGGCTTTTCAAGAGAGACAAAGAGCCCTCTGGAGACTTAGGCCTCACAAGACAAATTACAGGGTGTCAAAACCAATACCTTTTTTTCCTTTTTTTTTTTTTTGAGAGGACTCAGAACCTTCTGTGAGGGGAGCCACAGGGAAAAGGTTTTTGAAAATGAGACATCTGATAGGAAGCAGGAGTCGTGCCTCTCTGCCCTCCCGTGTTTTCCCTCCACATAATCAATGTACAGCTGAACAGACAGAGGGCAAGGTATTAGTAGAAATTCATAGTTATCATGTCTACAATAGTCTACAAAGTACCAGAATGGCTGAGAAGAGCAAGAGGACAGTACATACAATGGCTGGCACATAATAAGGCTCTGGAAAAACGTTAGTTAGTTCTCCCTCAATGGCCTCACAGGCATGAGGGAGGTTGAATCTTCACTAACTGGCTTCATTCTGGGGGACAAGTGCCTCCAACAAATCTGCTCCCTCTGCCAGACAAAACAGCTCAGAGCCCGTGACTCAGATGATGACCGAATGACAATTTTAATATAAGTGCTTCTTTACAGGATAACAACAACAAAATAAAGAGACAGAAAATGAGATTATCCCCAGCTACAACGAAAATCTGGAGTAGAGCCCAAATTAGCACCTTCCAGGGTACTCCATACCTTTAGTGTCCAGAGCTAAAGGGCCAAGATATGAAGAATATTGCTAAGAAGTGAAGGTGCAGGGGAATGGAATCTACCCCAGGCTGGGTGTCCTAGGGACAGAAAAGAAAAGAAGCTTAAATAATTGTGGCTGTAGCTGAGCTGGGAGAAGGCAGGGCACTTGAGGTGGAGAGGGAGCAAACAGCTCTGATCAGTCAGAGGATAGGAACTCCATCCAAATGCTCTCATATCTCAAAGGTGATTTCAAGTCCTTTCCCATTCCCTTAAATTGACTATTGATTAAACAGGAACCCACTTCTTTGGCTACCCAATATCCCCTCTCTTGTTCTTTAACAGTCCCTGAATTTATTCAGGTGTCAATGTTCCCAACTAAAGACTACAGTGCAGTTAGAGGTCCAATGACGTATAAGCAGAAGCCACCGGGTGGGACTCCTAGGAAATATCCTCAAAGGGTCTGATTCATAGGGGTTGGGGCTGGG